CCTCCAAAAAAAAAAAAAAAAAAAGCTCCGGCCGCCACCGTGGAATTCCAAAACCGCCGCAACAAAAATAAACAGTCGCCGGAGAATCCTATTACAGAGATTTATTCATAAGCGAAGAGTGAGATCGATGGTTACGTGTTCGACGGCAGCATCAGCATTCGGTGAGAGATCGTTCGGCGAGGCGGAGGCTGTAGTGGTAGTACCTCGGTAGTGATTATTCTGGTGGAACCAATGCTCGTCAAAAAGCGCCGACGGAGCCAGTGCTGTAGTAGACGGCGATGCAAGATGGTGGTAAGTAGTCGGCGGCGGCGGCGGTGGCCTCGAGTGTTGAAGCGAACCGAGGTGAAGAATTTCAGAGGTGAAGGCCTTACGCGAAGCTGCTCGTTCTCTTTTGTGAGCATTTTGGTGGCCGCCTAGGGCTTGGGAAGTGTAGAATTTTCGAGGACAGTAAAGGCATGGAAAAATGCGTGAGGAAGAGTATTGAGACTGAGATTTTCTGGAGGTCGTTTTCGGTACAGAATTTGAAGCAGTCGTTTGGCTAAGGAAGTCGTAAATGGCAGGGTCCGCCATTGATGAAGAGCTTGAAAACTCAGAGAAGAAGAAGAAGAAGAAGAAGAAGAAGAATGAACAAAAAGAAGGATAAAAACGGAATATATATAATAAGCCAAGAGAGCAAAAGAGATATTTAAATATTAAAAAAAACGGAGTGACCAGAGGAATAACATTATCAATGATTTGTTAATTTTAATTGGACAATTTTGCCCTCCCAAGCCTAAAAAAGTTCTAAAAAGATAATAAAATCACGAGAGCTTATACTCAAAGTGGACAATATCATACCATTGTGGAGAGTCGTGTTCGTCTAACATGGTATTAGAGTCATGCCCTAAACTTAGTCGTGCCAATAGATTGATAAATCCTCAAATGTCGAACAAAGGACTCCAAAAGAAAAATGAGTCGAGCCTCCTCGAAGGCAGTAAAAAATGACTAAGATTCCTCGACTCCAAAGGAGTCTAGCCTCGATTAAGGGGAGACGTACTTTATTCAAAGGGAGGTATTGGACGATGGAAGACCCACATCTGCTAATTTAGGGAATGATCTCGTATATAAATTCATTATATAAGATATCATCGCTCATATGTCTTCATATGAACGATTTAAATCAAATTATTTGTAGCAAATTACAAAATATTTCGTATTAATAGTGTTACTGAGATAAGACGATTTAAATAATTACGAAACTAACCCTAAGTATTAGGGTTACTAAGGCTATCCACTTAGGGGTAAAGGCTATATTTGGTTGAAGTAGTAGTGGTTTAAGATAGAAGGGCAAAAATGGAAAAAATGGGAGAATATTTTGTTGAGGATTTGGATGAAGGACAGGAAGCGGTAGCACTAACAATCCCCTGCCTTGCAGAGGGAGTTATGTCCGACATCCACGAACCAATTTTCTTTTTTAAAAAATTAAAAAAAAATTTAATATATTAATAAAAAATTGTCATGTTTAATTTTATTAAATTAAATAAAGATATTTATATGATTCGATAATCAACTCTAACTGCCCAAGCCCACCGCCCCCAGATATTATCTTATTTAGGCTTTCTCTTTCCGGCTTTAAAATGCGACCTGGGTGGTTTGTTCTCCTCCCCAACCAATGTGGGACATCACAATCCACCCCTGTTCAGGGCTCAGCGTCCTCGCTGTCACTCTTCCCTTCCTCCAATCGATGTGGGACCGCCCCGAAATCCACCTCCCTTTGGGGCCAACGTCCTTACTAGCACACCGTCTCGTGTCTCTATCCCTTTCGAGGAACAGCGAGAAGGTTGACACATCGTCCGGTGTTTGGCTTTGATACCATTTGTAGCGACTCAAGCCCACCGTTAACAGATATTGTCTTCTTTAGGCTTTCCCTTCAAACAAATGTCTGCTAAGGGAAGTTTCTACACCCTTATAAATGGTGGTTTGTTCTCATCCCAACCAATGTGAGACATCACACCAACCAACTTCGACTCCGTAACCAAAAGAAAATTTTATACTATTTTTTTTTTATTAGATTAACTCAATCAACCCGAAAATATAAATATTAAGAATATTTAACTTTTGTAACTGATGTTAATAATTCATTTACGTGAATAAATGAAATTTTTTTAAATAATTAAATTTATCAAATTTTCTAAAAAAATTATGCTATAAATATGTGATATTTAAATAATATATTTGTTATTTTGGAATTAGGGTTTAAATGTGTGATGTGGCGGGCAGCAGATTTGAGTTGCGGTCAGTGAGCAGAAGTACTGCCCGCAGAATACGGCGGGTGTGTAAGTGGTAGTTTATTAAAAGCGAATATATTTATTTTGATAGAAAAACAAAATATAGCTTTCGGTTTTGTGGTAAAAGGGAATATACAATGAAACGTCATGTCGACTTGACCATTAATGTATAAGCACATGTAACTCTCTTACGTAATCTCTATACTTTTTATTTGTTATTATACCCTTTGATTTGATTGCATTTATATATATATATATATGTGTGTGTAATCTACAAGGCTCGTATAGTTTATTTAATCTATATAGAGACCTGTCTTGAACGAAATGGGAAATAGAGGAGTGAGCGGAGAGAAAGTTCTTTCTGTAATGTGAACGGAGCCAAAGATGAAGATTATATAAAGTTCTTTCTGTAATGTGAACGGAGCCAAAGATGAAAATTATATATTCATATTCATTGTCTTAGATCCCCGAATCTCCAATCCTTGTACCCTGACCCCACCCCACTTGATATATATATACACATTGTTCCCTAATCTTTGACCCCAGTTAGTTAGTAAATAAATAAATATATATATACTAACTAAATATATATATATATACATATTAATGTGTAAAATTATATTATAATATTTAAATATGAATTTTTAAAAATTATGTTCAACTTTATATTATTTTATTTTGTTTAGAAAGAATTATTAGATTTATTAAAATGTTTTTTTTTATTTTTATAAATGAAGTCAATTCAATAAAAAAAAATTCTTAAATTAAAAATTTGAATAAAGTTTATTTTTAAAATAAATTAAAAAAATATTTTAAAAATAACCAAAAAAAAAAAAATCATCTAGATTGCTTCTATAGTCTCTAAAGTCGTATATAAAAATATTTTGTTTATTTTCATACGAAAAAAGGAAGAATTACTCGTATTACAAACCATCCAAATTTATCTTTATCATTAATATTTATTTAAATAATATTCATAAAATTTTAATAATAGCATTAACATCCTTTATCATTATAATTGATAATTATATCTTTGTAAAATATTTAATTACGACTTTAGTATATATTTTCCATAGTGCATATTTACAACATTTTCCATCCAATTACATTTATAAGTAAATAGGCCAAATTTTGAGACCATCAAAATTTTAGGTAGAAAAAACCCAAAACTTGCTTGAAATGACTTTCTAACAGCTTAAAAACATTTATTTTCTCATCGGGTCATGATCGATCAAAAGAAAATCACTTACGAACAAATCATTTTGACTAAAATCACTCCCGAACCTACCATGAACCTACGGGAGGGCACGACGAAAGGAACGATAGAAGAGAGATTCTTCATTATTTTCTTTTGGTGTTAAAGTTGTGTGCTTGGAACAAAGCCAAAGCAAAGTGAAGGGTTTGTTCAAAATATAAAATAATAATAATAATAATAATAATAAGATTATATACAGAGGAGGTTAAGCCATTTTTTGAGATGGAAATGACAGAGAACAGAGAGTAAAATATGTGCACATGGAAGTGTTGGGAAAAAAAGGAACATTTTTTGCTTATCTGGACATTTGGAGGATGCCACGTCAGCTGATGTTGAAGTACCTGGGATCTTCTGGAAAATGGTATTCCACCTTCAACTGTTCATTACAGAGTTCCAAGAAATCAGGGAAAAATGAAGAACACTTTCAGTAGAAGCCATGGTTAACTCATGAACATGATGAATAGAGAGCTTTAGAGGCACATAAAATCACTACAACAAGCTCATTACCCAACTACAACAGCAGATTCATCCACAAAAATCACCAGCAATTAACATTAAAAGTAGCTGAGATTTCCCTTCCCGTAACTCAAGCCCACCGCTAGTAGATATTGTCCATTTTGGCCCGTTACGTATTGGTGTCCGCCTCACGGTTTTAAAACGCGTCTGTTGGGTGGAGGTTTCCACACTCTTATAAATAATGCTTCGTTACCCTCCCCAACGGATGTGGGATCTCACAACTCACCCCCCTTGGGGGCCCATATTAGAGCTAGACACTGGGCGGTGAGGCAATGAAGACGTTGGGCCCCCAAGAAAGGTGGATTGTGAAATCCCACATCGATTGAGGAGGGTAACGAAGCATTCTTTATAAAGCTGTGGAAACCTCTATCTAACAGACGCGTTTTGAAACCGTGAGGTTGACGGTAATACGTAGTGGGCCAAAGCGGACAATATCTACTAGCGGTGGGTTTGGAGTTGTTACACAATCAGTTTGAATCCATGTGTGTGTGTGCGCGTGTGTCGATGCAGGACGACGTACATAAATGGCAGGAGGAAGAAAAACAAGGCTTTATCAGTGTCGAGTTTATAATCAAAAGACTACTACTGTTAAACATTACCTTGCCCTCATCGGAATCGGAATGGCGTTGAGGGAAGACGACCCTCAAGTCGTTGTAAAGATAGAACTTTCTCTTGCCATTGATATCCAAGTTAGGTGTGTTTTGCGCAGAGACATGGTCGGATTTGGATTTTCGAGACGATCTAGAGGACTTTTTAGGAAATGGACAAAGGAAACGAAGGTGAAGCGCGTAGCGAAGAGCACCAGCAGTATTCTCATTGACCTTTGAACAAACATGTAACAGTTTTTTGTCAGTCCCACAGCAATTATCAGCCCAGCAACCATCCTTCTGATCAGCCCCCCTCCTCTGGCACTGGTTCTCGAGGCCTAGAGGCACAGTATCGGTCCTTCGGTTATCGAAAATTCGCTCCGATCCATCCCCATTATCGATAAAGTCGACCACATCAGAGCTTTCACTTCGTCCACTTTCATTCCCCAACTCCTTGTGCACAGTCTTAACACCATTGGTCTCTGTTAGATTCTTGCTAACCACTTCAGTATCACCTTTTTGGGAGGCTAAAGTCGTCGTGTTGTCCACCATTTTGTTGTCGAGATCGACCTTCCCGTCTCTTGATGAAGCTGCATTGGATGAACCTAGAATAACCTTCTGGCGCATGAAGGTCTAGTTTTCGCACAAAAACACGAACATAGTTAGATAAACCATACACACAAAAGAAAGCTAGTAAGAGCCAGCTAAAATACGAACCAGACGAACCATGACCATCTAAAAGTTGTCACATATTGCACACCGCTGGTCGATAAAATGATACGTAGAAAACAAAAAGTCGCTCGAGGAAAGATTCACTACCTTAGTGCCAGCAGGCATGTCGCTCAAGTCATACTTGCAGAGAAAAGTGTGCAGGGGAGTCTTCTCAGGATTGCTGAGAACCTGTAGAAAGAAAATACATGAAAATCAAAAACCTCAATGGAAGAA